CAGCTGTCAAAAAAAGTTCAGAATTAATGGATTAATTTCAGAGTTTAGTAAAATCAGGGATATATCTGATTGCGACAGACAATAATGTGGTAACAATTTACAGTTTTCATTTGCTAGCTTTAGTTTACATGAACTACCAATTAACAATACTATTACAGCATTTATCATTCTTAATTAATGTTAATCTCAACATTTATACCGTAATACATTTTTTAAGATCAAAAGTTGTATCTGTTAACATTAGTTAATGCACTGTGAACTAACATGAAAGTGAACTAATTAACTAACAATTAGGTGATGGGGGTTGGTGTTAAAGAATTGTGTTATAATAACCCCTACAAATACAACTCATTATATACACTATAAACACTTTAAAGGAGACATACATGTAGATGTTTGTGAAAGATGTTTTCTCTGTTTTGGAAGGATGAGAAGGATGAAATCATACCCTATTTATTGCATCAAAATTTGTTAATACTTTACTATATTTAAGGGTGGATAATTTTATCAGTTGTTTATTGCAACAGTACATAACTACAATAACTTTGTGTAGTGCTTTTATGAAAGTTTATAGCATGATTTGTGAAAATGTAACTATACTGAATGACATAGCATAGACTTCTTCATGGCTAGTTTTTGCGTATTTCATTTCATTCTGTAACCTACTTGTTCTACAGATCTGTGTGTACTAGTGTTAAATGTTACCGTTTTTGACAGCGTTGATAATGTTTATGAAAGATAATATCATGATAATTTTTGCATTTCCCTTACCGAATTTATATTAAAACCTGTCCATGGACTTTTTTGATTGTTTTCAGTTTAAGTGCCGGCGATGCAGTGTTGCCAGATATTGATACTAATACAAATAAAAAACTAAAAATAAACCAAAATAATTTCCAATCTTTTACAAATAAGATAAGATAAAGATATCGCTGACTCTAAACTGCAACTTCCTACTTTATTAACTTTCTAATCTAAAGTGTTAAATTAAGTGGAAAATCAAGTCCAAAAACGCTTATATTAGCTGGATCTGGCAGCACGAAGGCTGTGCCCGCGCCCTCACTCACAACTCTCTAAAGCCTCGTTTACTCCGCCAGCGTCTCGCAGCGATCATTTTCATAACAGGGACGCTAAACATTCTTGCAAACTGTCTAAACTGAATTATACATGTCATTCATATGAGGAGATTAACAGCAAATTAGTAATTCAAAGAACAAATTGTATTTTTGAAAATGAAAAATTTACCGAGGTCCAGACCTCGGTGGCCTCATAGCTGCTTACGGGCCTGAGGATGTGCTACCATCACTATACTAAGGTTAAGGTTAGGGTTATTGGGTATTTGTTTCACCATTGTGTGTAGGCAATCAGCATTGTGATTGAAATGAATGATGGACTCTTTAGAATGGGCTTTGTGCTTAACTGTTTTGGGGGAAAAAATCATGCAGTATTTAGTAGGCTATTCCTATATTTTTTTGCAACAATGCCTTAAAGTGTAATAGTGCTGAATTGTGTGCCTTCAACTTTGTTGCAACAGTTTGGAGAATGATCTTTTTCTATTATAGTATGGCAATGTCCCAATACACTGATCAGCCACAACATTAAAACCACTGATAGATGAAGTGAATAACATTGATTATATTGCATATACACTACTGTGCAAAAGTCTTAGGCCATTAGTATTTTCACCAACAAAAAATGGTTTTAAAGCCATTTATTTCTCTTTTGCTGTAGTGTGTCAGTAGGAAATATTACCAAACATTTATTTTGCCATTAATAGTAATAAACCAGTGAGATTTTTGTATGCACTAGTAGTCTGACAACAGCCAGTGCTCCACACAGAGATCTGATCTCACCATCATCTAGTCCATCTGGAATGACATGAAGAAACAGAAAAAAAATGAGATAGACTAAATCCAGAAGAACTGTGGCAACATCTCTAAGACGCTTCAAGAAACCTATACCTGCAAAGCCTGAAAAACTATGCGCAAGTGTACCTAGGACAAAAGCTGTTTTAAATGCAAAGCGTGGTCACACCAAATGTTGATTTGATTTAGTTAACAGAAGTTAATTGATAAATAAAATCAATTTATGACATTGAAAGCATCCTCACTTTACAGCATTTTAACACAAGTGCCTAAACCTTTCACAGTGCTGAAGCTTTGCAGGTAGGTTTCTTCAAGCATCTTGGAGACTTTGCCACAGTTCTTCTGGATTTATTCTGTCTCCGTTTTTAGTTTCTTCATGTAATCCCAAACGGATTGGATAATGGTGAGATCAGATCTCTGTGTGGAGCACTCTCTGTAGTCAGACTCCTTGTGCATACAAAAATCTCACTGGATTATTACTGGCAAAATTAATTAATGGCAAAAGGAATGTTTGGAAATGTAAATTGATATTTCCTACTGACACTACAGCAAAAGTAAATACTGGCTTAAAACAATTGTTTTGTTGGTGTAAATACTAAAGACTTTTGCACAGCAGTGTATATCGGATATAATAGGCTGCAAGTGAACAGTTGGTTCTTGAATTTCATGTGTTGGAAGCAAAAAAAAAAAAAATGGCAAAGCAAAAAGGTCTGAGTGACAACGGCCAAATAGGGATGGTTAGATGACTAGGTTAGAGCATCTCCAAAACGGCAAGTCTTGTACGGTGTTTCCAGTGTGCAGTTGTTAAGGCCTACCAAAAGTGGTGCAAGGAAGGAAAGCATGATTGTTTCCATGCTTTTGAAATTAGATTTTCAACGAGATACAAGGGCATCAGGGAGGTCAAGCACTATCGTTGGGTAATGGGGTCTGGCTCATTGTTCCAATTCATCCCAAAGGTGCTCAGTAGGCCTTCAGGCCAGGGTTTTGTACTGTATAGGCCAGTTATGTTCTTCCACACTAGACACAGTAATTTTATTTCTATGTGGACCTTACTTTGTAGATACATGCATTGTCATTTTGTAAAAAGACCCTCCTCAAACTGTTGCATCAAAGTTGGATGCACATAATTCTCTAAAATGTCATTGTGTGATCTAGCATTAAGATGTGTCATTACTGGAATAGCCATTATTCAGAGGGGGATATCCACATACTTTTGGCCATATAGTGTACTTTTCTGTTCAAGATAGCTAATCCATCATTCATCACGCCTCTGGGGGGAAGACCTTAGAGTGCAGTTCTCTTAAGAGAGCTATGAAATATTTACTCTTAGAGGAAGACAAATATGCCAGCAATGTTTATTTTGCAGTGGTGGCCCAAGGGAAGAACACAGAGCTTTTTTCCCACATTTCCTTGATTATCTGTTTGTTGTTTATCGGCTTGACACTCCATTTTCATACTATAGTTTCCTCCTGAGAGTTTCAGCATATATATAATATATATATATAACAGAATCATAATATGGACTAAAAGTACTAAAACTTCTGACTGAAACTCCATTACTTTGCATATATCTGCATACTTGGTTACACTTTACAGTAACAGTACATGAATAATCATGTACTATAACCTAAATTAAATATTACTTTAATATGAGCTAATGGTGAGTTAAGGCTTGTACTAATAAAGAACTAATCTTAACTACGACATGACTCATAAAACGTATGTGTGAATAACGACCACCATGACTACATGTTTGTTAGTTAATGTATTCATTAACACTTTGGTGTAAATTTTCAAACAAGAATTCATGTCTTGTGTTATAGTTATAGTTCTGGAGTTCTTGATTAGTACATGCCTTAACTTTAGCTCATGCTGTATTTAAGTAATATTTAATTTAGATTTAATTTGTATATGATTATTCATGTACTGTTATTGTAAAATGTTACCGCATACTTTTTCTCCCTCTCCACACATTTCCGTTTTTTTTTTTTTTTTTTAATGTGTTGCTTTCTTTTTCTGTTTTCCCGTAGACAATTAATCAATGTGTGCACATTCACTTTCACACACCTATGTTTGAGCTATGCCAGGCAAGAGATTTTCTGGTCCTATCTTGCTGTTTGTTATTTTCTTTTTGACTGATTTATTGTTACTATTATATTTTATTGTTATATTTGCATTCTATTTGGTGTTCTTGGATTTAGAATTTGTGGTTTATGGTAGAAGTAGGTGGGAGGCGCCCTACACTTTAATGACCCAACATGTCTTTGTGTTTGCTTCTCTCTTTAAATCCATTCATTCATTCAATTTAAAAGCTCTTTATTGCAATGGCATTATGTTTAATGCCATTGCAATAAAGTGCTTTTAAATTGAATGAAAAAATGAATGAATGAATTTAAATAGAGAGAAGCAAACACAGAACCATGTTGGGTCATTAAAGTGTAGGGCGCCTCCTACCTGTCAAACATAAGCAGTTCAGGCACTGAGGTTGTCAATGTTGATATTTGCATTTTCAGACAGTGTGTGTTAGAGTTGTAGTCTGGCAATATCTACTTCACAGACTAAAGTCCCTCAACAGATCCTCCACTATTTATCTATGTATTTATTTATTCTATATATGCATAGCTTTTTATTGTAGCCCCATGTGTTTCATTGTATTCAGTGTCATAAATGTGAGTGCCACACCACATGTTTGCATTTGCCTTGTTGGTTGTGACATTTTTAGATATTCAAAGTCTAACCTTTCTGTGGGTTTGAGTAAAGGAGATGTGTGGCAGGATAAAGTAGCACTCTAAACCAGACAAACAGTTATGAAACGCTTTCATTTAAAATCTGTTCAACAAAGAGCATCAATGACCTACATGTGCATTTCTGCTCTGACAGCATGACCCTGATCTGTTTTGTACCCTGCTCATGATACTTCATGTCTAGTTGCTAACATTCATAGTCAATTTATATTGCATAGTAATTATTTAAAGCCACTTCTTTATTATTATATCACAGTTCAGAGTTTATGTGGAGTAACATTACCCAGAGACTTCAGCATTACCATGTGCCCTCTATTATTTACCTATGTTTTATTTTATTTTATGAATTCATGTTCTGATGTCATCTCTTATTTGGCATGTTGTGTTGCAGTGGGGGAAGGCAAGAACATGATTCCAATGGACCCGAATGGATTGTCTGATCCATATGTAAAACTCAAGTTGATTCCAGACCCTAAAAATGAGACAAAACAGAAAACGAAAACCATCCGTTCTTCCCTGAATCCGGCTTGGAACGAGTCATTTACATTGTGAGTTGCAACATTTTATTACATCCTAATATTTAGGATTAATGTGTCATTGATGTTAGTTTTACTGTATGTGCATAAACATTGTATTATTTATTAATGTTTTACCCAAAATGGTATCACTTGCTCTATAAAATCTACTCTTCCATACAGGGTTACTGTAGCATCAGTTTTAGTATATGGCTTAATATGCTTTAGATCATGGTTTTTCAACTGATGGCACAAACATTTTATATAACCCTGATTCATTTTGATGAAATCACTGTGCTCCCTGATAAATCAGAACCAGATTCATTCGAAGGAGGACAGTGCAATTCACAGCTTAATAAGACACGCATATGAATACCCCTCCCCCAAAAAAACGATAACAAACCTTCAAAATAAAAACTATTTATATCTTCCTAGAAATCAGACATCAGCTAAAAATGAAGAACATATAGATTAGTGCAAAAGATTTTCAAAGATGTCACATGGCTGTTTGTTGGTATAGTGGAGTGAACCTTTCTATAGAGTGACTTCCTTAGAGTAGGTCAATGTTCAAATCGATATAAGGTCTTAAGTTCAAATCAATGAATGTATAATAGGTGTGGGGGCACATTTAATTCTATGATATGATCTGTACTATATGGTGCTATTATAATCCACCCCCATCCCTACCTTCTAGTAGGTAAAGAATTGTTTTTAATGGGCTGAATGCTGATGCCATTTCTATAGTGTGGAAGCAGCCAAAGTGATAGGTGACAAAGAAAAGCACAGGAACCAGCATTGTTTAGGTGCACACATTCAATCACATCTTATCCATTCAAACGTATTTATGCAAATAACTTGACTGTGAAAAGATCGTCTGAAACACAGCAATTGATACAGTGATACGTCTGCACAGGTGGATGATGATATCGTAAATAAAAATGAAATATTTAAAGGTACACTATGTAACTTTTGGTGCTCTAGCGGTTAATAAATAAAACTGCATGCTTCTTGCAAAAGAACATTGTAGCCGGAGCTACTTCTCTCTGTTTATGGATATGAAGGTCATGCAGGTACTAGGCTTCTCCAGCAGGGATTGTCCAGACAGTTCTAAAATAGTCTGAATATAAACACTTATTATAGGCTCTCCAGTCTCCATAGTGATTTCGGATAAGAAAAAAAAAAAAACACAGTTTGGATTCATGACGTACTCGCTCATTAAATAAATTGTGTTA